GCACCGGTTGACCCCGCAGTCTCGCCTCATGCCCGCATCGGCCCGCCCTAGAGCTGTCACGATGCTGCCGCCCGCGCCTTCCCGCTTGGGGCTGCTGCTGCTGCTTCTCCTGTGTCCGGCGCACGTCGGCGGACTGTGGTGGTGAGTGCTGCGTCTGGCTGTCTCAGCGCGTCTCCTGAAGCTCGAGGGTGGGAACCTCGGGACCGACTGCGGGGCTCGGAACCGCCCTCCGGCTGCCTCCGGAATCTACCTGCGCGCAGAGCCTAGCCCCCGGGCAGCTGAAGAGGTGAAGGGGAGGTGCGTGCCGCTGCTGCCGGCCTCCGCCAGGGGCACTGAACTGCCATTTGGACGTGCCTACTACTCCCCACCCCTCCGCGTATTCTATTGTATTCCTCTGGTGTCCCACCCCCTACCCCAGGTTATCGCTCAATCCAGGTCACCAAGGGATTGGCAGGAGGGTAGGAAAGCGCTATCGGGGAGACAGGCGGAAGATCCGTAGTCTGAGGTCTTTAGGAAACAATGTGTGAGGAGGGCTCTGGATTAGGGCGGGGTGGGGGGGGGGCTGGATTTGGGGAAAAGAGAGGAACTAGGTGGGAAACCACAGGCAGGAAGAGTCAAACAGCTGCCTGTTCCCTGCCTCATCTTTGCCCACAAACCCACCGGCTTCTTTGTGGGCTCCTTCAGGATGGAAGGTGGGGGCGGGAGGGGAACATAAAGGGGAAACTGAGTCAGAACCTTGACTTTCTTTACTTTCTCCTCCCCGAGCAGCGAGGAGGAAAGGCAGGAAAAGGACCCAAGCGCCTGGCCCTCCCAGATGTGGGGGTCATGGATGAAAAATGTGCAGCTCGGGAGGTATTGGGAACCGTAGAGGGCCCTGGTGGAAGGGAGGGAGGCCTGGCGAGCCAAAGGATGGGAGCATCTTCCCAGACCTGGTCTCCTGATTTAGCCCTAGCTAGAGCAGACACTGGGGCAGCGAAGGTTGAGGGAACTCTGAGTCTTTCGGAGTGGACAGAGGCTGGGAAGGTAGGTGCCGGGCCCCTACCGCTTAGAGATTCGGATCCCGTTAAACTTTTTTTCCTTCTCAGTCTCGAGAGCAGCAAAGACCCGTCCAGAATAGCTCAGTGTTTAGAGAGGAGGGACTTGGACAATATCGCTGGGCATCAGCCAATCCTAAGAAGGCAAGGTCTTGTCTATTTGCATACCGCCATATCATTGGCTGGATTCTCTACCCTCCACTCCTCCCCCACCCCGGGATTTGGGAGAAGGGGTGGGGCAGGCAGATCCCTCTCTTCTGGGGAGATAGCTGGATGCACACACAGGGAGCTGCTGGCCCCAATAACCCTCTTGCATGATGCGAGAGAGACGTCCCTCAGAGTGTCAGTGAGGAGGCACATCGAGGACGGCCTAGGTCCGGGCTAGAGAACATGCATCCTTCCATCCTAACTTAACATAACGCAGTAGCAGCTTTGAAATAGACAGACCTGAGATCTAATCTGCCCATTTGTTAAACCTGTGACCTTGGGCAAGTCACTTCTCTCTGCTCCCCAATGTCTCAACTGTAAAATTGGGAAACAGTTCCCCTACATGGCAGGCTTACTAGGAGGATTAGGTGGGGTGACCTACAAGATAATCTGACATTGGGAGGTGCTCCTAAATATAAGTCCCCCCTCCACACCCCAGGTTCTGGCCAGAGTCCCCATGGGTGAAAGGGGGGTTAATTTAAATTTAAAATCTAGGATCCCCAGGAAAGTTTATAAAGGGATTTCTATCTCTTGTTCCCCATAATTTCGTTCCCTAACTTTCCCCTTTCTCAAGATATGGGGACAGGGGCCAGGTGTCTCCCTGATGTCGGTAGCTTTCCCTTCCCCACCTCCATTTGTCCCAATTTTCTCATCCTTCCAGTTAAAATACCACTTTCTCCTTGAAGCTGTCCCTCTGTCTTCCCTCCCTTGCCTTCTCTGTGCTTCCACTGCTCCCATGGCACCCTCTGTCTTTTATACATTTTACTGACAACCATCTCCTCTTGGGTCTCTTTTCCCTGCTCCTGGAAGGCCAAGCCTTGGACTTTAGGGCCTTAGAGACTAAAAGTGCTGGGGACAGTTTTATGGAGTGTTGCTGAATTGGTTGATTCAACCTTCTGGGGTTTGTATCCATGCAGGGGGGGGGTCCTTTGTTTGGAATAGGCTGCTTGGTGGGAGCCATGTCAGAGGGAGGAGAGACCTGGTCCCTCCAAGACTGACCCTGAAGCTGGAAATCAGGGAGTGGGGGAGGAGGTGAGGAGGGCAGGTGTGGGAGAACACAGAGGCCTTCATTGCCACAGCTGCAGGGTGAGCCTGTGAAGAGTGAGGGGCTGATGTGATAAGGTGTCCGATGACTGCCTCACTCAGATACTTCTGAGAGGCTCCTGTCACTCCTTGCTCCCACCCCTGAGATGTCACCTTAAGTAAGAGCTTCTTTAGGCAAGGAGCTTACAGGCTGTTCCCTGATGTCTAGGACTGGCTTGCTGGACCTCTTCTCCCTGCTTCTCAGAGAATGCTGGCCAGGCCAGAGCTCCAGCGATGTACAGAAAAGCAGCTGGACCCACAGCAGCCGGCTGCAGTCCATGCTGACATTATAGCAGCAGCCACGCTGGGAGCAGAAAGGACCCCAGGAACCCTGAGCTACTGGACTGTCCTGGTTAGGAAAGGAGGGGCTGGGAGGGGAGGGGCCCAGGCCCTGGAAAAGGCTCAGAGACCTGGCTCCAGGTCCCTGGGAAGTTTCCCTTCCACCTTCCCCCCTCCCTCTTCTTCTCCAATGCAATGCCTGCTTTCTAAACTCTGCCTCTGGCCTCTGTCTGTCTCTCTTCCATCTGTAACCATATCTTTGTGAATCACAGAATCCCAGATTCCAGGACATTGGCCAGGCTCTCTTGAGGTCATCTTGTCCAGCTTACTGCCTCCAGGCCATTCAGCCCATGTTCTGGCCCTGACAGATCCTGTCCTGGTCACCAGCTCCCACTCCTTCCACCCTGCTCCCTTCATCCCTCCCATCCTCCCCCAGGAAGTTCTTCTCAACATCTGACCCATCTTTATTTACACCGTCAATCAGCGGATGTAGAAAATAGCTCTTTCTCACAGAATAGCAAAATCAATCTCCCTTCTTCCTTCCTCTTTCCTCTGTCTGTTTTATATTTTCTATGAAAGAAGCTAACCCTCTACTCCTATTGCCCGCATGTTCCACTAGGAGTAGCACTGGTCAGTCTCCCTCCCTTCCCCCATCTCATCTTGCCTTTTGGACACCACCCCCCTTGCCTATGGAAACAGGAACCAGATGCCTAGGACAGCCTCATCTCTGGCTCCACAGGGAGGTAGGGAAAGGACCCAGGCTTCTTCTTGACACCCAGGTTTTCCAACTGTTACCCCCACACCAGGATAGACCTGATCACCCTTTCCCATCCTGTCTTTATCTGGGGCCCCCAATCCTTCATGGGCAGTCCTGTTGTTGGCCCCCACCAGGCTTAGGATGGGGTGGGGAAGGGGGTGGGGTGGCCATCCAGTCCCCCCTCCAGGCCTCCCGCCTTGGCAGCTTCCTCTGGAGGGAGACAATGGGGCTGTGAGCAGAAAAGGGCAGGGGCAAAAGGAGGCTGGCTCAATCCAGGCCAGAGCATGCCCTGAGCCCACCAGAGTCCTGGCACTGTGACATTTCCTGGGGGGTGCAAACCCCTCCTTCCCTGTTCTCATCGGAAGCTAGGAGTTGGTGGGGGGAGGTCAGTGGGAGGCTTGATCACCAGGGCCCAGCAAGGGGGATTCCAGAATGTGTACTTTGATGGAGAAATGCAGCTGTGGAGGGGATGAGGCGAGGGTGGGGTGGGCAGCCAGGCCACAGTCAGGCTGGCAGTAGGGCACCCAGCCAGCCAGAGCAGAGGCCCTTGAACACAGAAGCCTGTCCCTAGGGACTGGGGAGAGTGCCCTCTAGCTTGGGCCCTCCTTCCTCCCAGAGACCGTGAGTGCTTCCCCTAGACTGCCTAAGGAAGAGCTCAGGGAGGGAAAGGTCACTGGGAGGGATCTTCACCCACTTTCCACCTGGCCTCTTTAGCTGGTTCCTCCAGCTCTGAGGCCTCCGTTTAATCCAGAAATTAGCTCTAGAAAGGACTTACAGATCATCTAGCAGAGCTCAGGGACAGGAGGTCACTTGTTCAAGGCCACCCAGAATGCAAGTAACTGAGGGTTGGGACAGGGAGTCCAGCTCCTGCTGAGTACCTTGTCCTTGTGTGCAGTGAGGGTGGGGGTCAGGAAAGGGGTACAGGGCCTTCCACAGGCCCCTTCTGCTCCCCATCACCTCCCTCAGATGGTGTTCCCAACCTGAGTATGGGACAGGACAGCGGAAGGCACATGACAGGTTCTCTGCAGGACATCCAGAGGGTGGTCACTGTGTCCATGCCTTTGCCTCCCACAACCCTGACCAACAGTAAGCCATCTTGTAGAGGGAATGTAGCCATAATTCAAGGAAGGGAAAGCCCCTACCTCTCCCAAGAGCAATGAGAAGGAGAGGAGAGTGAGGAGATGGGAAGGGCGCCCAGGAGCAGGCAGAGAGAACCAAATTGGGCCTAGGTAGCGGCAGGGGGGTGGGGGAGATGGGGGGCTGGGGAGTGGTGGAATGGAGTGGCTGGTGGGCGGTGGGGAGGTAGGGGTTAATGGAACTGGGGCATCACTGGCTTTGATGTGGTGGTTGGGGTGGGGGTAGGGACTGGGGGAGGGGGAGCAGTAATTACCGAGTTAGACAGAGCAGGACAGGACAGGCGGGCGGGCACAGGCCCGGGCCCAGCCGCCTCAGCAGCCAGCAGCCGTCAGGCAACATTTTTCTGCCCCTTCTCCACCACCCACCTCCCCCACCCCTGTGCAGCCCTCACCCACAGCCCCAGGGCTCAGAGCTCCCTCTGCTGGGTCTTGGGAGGTGGGGGTCAGACTAAGGAGTATGGGGAATGAGTGTGGGGAATTAGTGGGGGGCTGGCTGTGAGACCGTTCAGAGGAGCAGATCAAAAGGGTCTGTGATACTCTTAGCCTCAAAAATCCATCCAGGAGTGCTTGATAGGGAAAGGAGGGATCCTGGAGGTGCTCCTGGTCCCTGGACTGAGCGGACAGGGGAGAAAGAGACACTGGGATCGAGGTTAAGTAAGTGCAGAGTTGGAGGAAAGCATGTCCTCAGGAACCCACAAATGCTGCCTGTACTCCTGCTGATTGTCAAGCTCTGTGCAGGCCTGCGAGGTGATTAAGGGTGGGAATGGGAAGACACAAAACAGCTGTGGAAGCCGACTCCCTGGACAGGTTCTTTCCATGTGTAACCTGGGAAGTACTATTATTTATTTCCATTTTACAGCTGGGGAGACTGAGGCTCAGAAGGTTACGTTTCATCATCCATTCAACAAATGCTAAGTGCCAACTTCAAAAGCTAGGGACTTGCTAACATCATAGAACAAGCAAATGGCAGTGCCCAGATGTGAACCCAAGTCCGATGGATCCTCAAAGCCCTGAGTGTGTTTTGCTAATGACATTATGCTTCTCCCTGAGATCTTTGTTGGACAGATAAGGCAAGAAAACATGATGAAATAATTATGCCACTGGCAGGATAAAAGTACCCCCCCAAATGAGTGACACCTGGAGTGACGCATGTGGGGGAGGTGAGTGAGGGCTGGGGCCCAGGGGAGGGTCCCAAGGGCAAGTGGGATCTGAATTGAGCTTGGGGAGGTGCTGGGTAAGATTTTGATGACTAGAGGTGGGGATGGGGGTACCTCTCAGTCCAGAAATTTAGTGGCATAATGAGGGATGGATGCAGAATTAGCCAACCCTGCTTGGAGTACGGGCTGCGTGGAGGATGGTGTGTGAGGCCACCTAAGGTAACAGAAGATCTCAGGTGGCCATTTCCTCCAGGCCCTTTGGTTTTTTTAAATAGTCACCTAAATTTTTTGCAACAGAGATTCCTCCACTGAGTGGCCAGGGTCATTCAACTCCCTTCTCATCTTGCTTATCTGTATAATGGGGGCGAAGTAGGTGGAGTTGGACTAGATAATCTCTGGCATTCTGTTCAGCCCTCTGAATCCAGGGATGGAAAGGTTATTTAGGCCAGAAACCCAAGCCTCCAAAGTTTAGATCTATAGATGTTGCCAGCAGGAACTGGCTGGCCCCTGATGCAACCTCACCTGGCTATTTATTCTACCAACCAAAGTCCCTGAGAGAGAGACTTTGGCACAGGCCAGGCCAGCTAGAATGGCCAACCCTAGTCTTGTCCCTTCTTGTCTACACATTGATTTCTTTTAGGGCTAGCTTCACTTTTCCTATGTCCAGAGTGGCTATTTCATTAGGGTCTCAGATCCTACATATTATATAGTATATATTTCCTACCACCACTGGGCTCCAGTCCCCCAACCATGCAGATGCTCCCAAATGGGCACATCTTCTCTGGCTGATCTCAGATCAATTCTAACTCAGAGCCCCCAAAGCAGAGTTCAATCCCTAAGGAAGCAGAAGGGAAGGGAGGCGGGTAAAGGAAGAGGAAAGACAGGGGAAATATTTCTTGATGCAGTTAAAGACGGTGTGAAAATTAGAGGGGATATTTGAGCCTATCTTGCCAACTCATTTTTGTGAAGCCCAGAGAGGGAACTGACTTACCCAGAGAGGCTCAGCTCATCCAGAGACCAGGGTACAAAAGTGAGGCCTGGTGTTTTGCCCAATGCCCCCCCTGCCACTCCCCTTCTGGAGTTTCCTTTCCTATGACTTGAAGATGGGAGCGAAGACAGGAGGGCAGGGAGCAAGCTGGTCCCTTGGGATTCTAGCTGCTACTACTGCCCATCCCTCCTCCTGACCAGCTTGTAAACAAGTCTAGTTCCCAGGCAGCCAGCCAGCCTAGGAAGCCAGACCCGGACCAGAAACTGACTCTGGGGCAGCCCCTCAACCCTGTGAAGGGACAGCCCCACCTCCTGGATGGCCCTGCCCATCATGCTCCTCCTGATTCCTCTTCCATCTCAAGCTCCTGGGAAAAAGACAAGGTCAAAAGGTTTTTGCCTTTCTCGCCTGGCCTGTGCAGGAGGAGGGAGAGGGGAGGGATGGGGCAGAGTAACCTTGGGAAGATAAGGTCAGTCAGCCTTGGGAAAGTAGGGAGTTAGCAGAGGGCAGGATTGGGGAGGGGAGAGTGAGGAACTTAGCAGCATGGGGATAGGCCGGGGAAGATGAGTTCGAAGGGCCCTAGACCCCCTGGTGGAGTTCTGGACATGTAGGTGGCAGAAGAGGAGCTAGTCAGCTGTGGGGAGGCCTACTTCCTTGCCTCTGAATCCAGCTGGGAGAAAGAAAATGTTTCAGGAAGCTAATTAGGAGTCATGAAACCATATGGGGACAGGAGCCTGGCCTTCTCCTTAGATGGCTCATTCATTCATTCAAAAACATTTATTAAATGGTATTCATTGTAGTATTATAATAATCGTCTATAGTAGGCAAATTTTCACAATAAAGATTGAGGGGAAATACAAACTAAGCAGCTAAATATCTGCCATGGGAGACAAAAGAAAATGACAGTCTTACACTCTCAAGGGGCTAGTCTTATCTACTGACTCTGTACAACCATACTAGAAGCTGCCCCCAACCCGTTTTGTAATGAAGTGGGATAAGTGGATGGAAAGGGGATGGATAGATAGATAGGAACTGATCAACTTTTGAAAGTCACTGGGCCACCGGCAGCCAGCAGGGGTTGCCCTACCCTTGGCCCACTCCCCCTGCCCAATCTCTCACCTGTCTAGGGTTCGTAAAAGGTTGGGGCTGTACCTTACCAGGCTACAATTGGAACACAGTGATGAGCAGGTGCTAAGCACGGAGGACTCCTCCTCTATCTTCTACAAAGGAAAAGATTGCTCTTGTTGCCCACACCTCTGATGTACTCCAGGGTCTTTTGGGAGCTCTCTCCCCTCACCATTTCAGCTTTTTTTAAATTCTCACTCTTGCATGCATTTGCCTTCTCTCCCTGCCAATTTCATGTCAGCAATTACCAGCTTTTCTGAGTGGATTTTCTGAAGGTCTAGACTATATGTCTCTCCACTGAGGAGAGAACCCTTGTTCCTGGACTACTTGGATAGGAATGTTGACAATGATGTGATAGCGTGGTGGTGGTGGTGGTGGTGGTGTGTGTGTGTGTGTGTGTGTAGAACTTAAAGGACTCTCGCACACATCTCCTTGCAACCACATCTTCAAGCATCTCACTCCTCATTGTTGAGAAGTTCTACCTTAAGACTGAAATTCCTCTTCCTGCTATTTAAGCCCATTACATCTCATCGTTGTGGGGCCAGAACATGTCTGGGCAGCCTGTACTTGTGGAGCTAATGGGGACAGTGGAGTGGATGCGCACTCAAGCTAAGATGAAAAGTAGGCCAACTTGACCTTTGGCACCTATCTACCAACATTTTCCTCTACATTTTCTATCTGCTGGTGCCACTTCTCTCCACCCAAAATCTTTTTCTGCTCTACGCTAAAGGGTTTTTGAGAGGTTTCAAATTACCCTTGGCCTCCAAGTGCTGTACCTACTCATTCCTGTAAGACAGGGATCTCAGCTAAGCACTCAGATAAGAGCAATTAAAGTGGTTCCACCCAGGTGTGAATACCTAGCCAACTTAACCTTCATGGGTCTGGTACAACCAAATGGCAGTTCTCTCCTCAGGTGGAAAGAAGGCTGGGAGTGGAGGGATTTCTGAAAGTGTGTGGAAATTTCCATGAGGTCTTTACCCACGCAGCCAAACAGCATCCCCTTCCCCAATCAGTTATGTTACCCCAGTGCCCAGGGCTTGGCTAGCTGCCATCCTGCTCTGGAAAGGTCACAGATCCTGGAGCCAGAGAAGGGTCAGTGCCACTTATTTCACAACAATGTTTCAGAGACTCAGTCCCCAGTTATTTCCTCCTGCTCTCCAGTTCAGAGAAACAGAGGATATCAAGGTGGGAGGGCCCACTTTAGAGATCAAAACCTAACCTTCCCATTTAACAGAAGGAGAAACTTGGGCTAGAGAGAAGGTATGACTTTCCTCAGAGGTTCCATTCCCTAGCCATTCTAACATCTTGTGGCCTTCTATATCCCTGGGATAGCCCCTACCTTTCTAGCATCAGGGCTGATCAGCTGACACATATGCAGCTTGTGGTCCACTGAGACCAGATCCTTCTCTGATATTACCTACTTTTCTTCTGTATCTCTTTATGATACACTTTCTTTTCTTTACAGCCTTCTTCATCTTCCTTCAGTTAATTCCCTCCTTGTCCCCCTTTTGGGCCAGGCCTGTTGAATTTTAATTTTGGTCTACCTGGTCCCAGATGCCTTCTCCTTGAGTCAAAGTCCTGTAAAGATTTTTTAATGAAGATGTGCACAGAAGGATAATACTGAATCCCTGCTCTATGGCAATTTCAGTCTAGAATCTAGTTAAGAGACACACACACAGAATGGTAAGAGGAGACAGGACAATCTCAATCTCAGTTAGTAGGTGCTGGTGGGGGAAGAGGCATGTCAGCTCCTCACTGTGGGCTGGGCAGGGCTGGTCTCCCTCCGCTTCACCCCAAGTAATTGAATTACACTCCTGATCTGCTGTTCTTTGCTTCCCAGGGCGGTGGGCAGCCCCTTGGTCATGGACCCTACCAGCATCTGCAGGAAGGCACGGCGGCTGGCAGGTCGGCAGGCTGAGTTGTGCCAGGCCGAGCCGGAAGTGGTGGCCGAGCTAGCCCGGGGCGCCCGGCTAGGGGTTCGAGAATGCCAGTTCCAGTTCCGTTTCCGCCGATGGAACTGCTCCAGCCACAGCAAAGCCTTCGGGCGCATCCTGCAGCAGGGTCAGTGCGGGGAGGAAATCAGAAGGGGGCTGTTTTCTCCTCGCTGCGGGATCAGAGGAGAGACTGGGGGTTTGGGGAGGATGCCTAAGCCCCACTTCTCCCACGGGTCAAAGGGCACCCTGTCCTGATCCTATCTTCCAGCCCCACGCCATACTGCCTCGCCCATTGCAGTCCCCCAGGACCCAGCTTTGGTCCTGCTGTCTGACTGCCCCTCCCCGCCCCCGCAGACATCCGGGAGACGGCCTTCGTGTTTGTCTATAACGCTGCAGAGCCAGCCACCGCGGTCACGCAGGCCCGTTGTTTCCCGACTGGGGCCGAGGCTGCTGCAGTGCGGCGTGCCAGGCGCCCGTCG